CTCTCTCTCTCTCTCTCTCTCTCTCTCTCTCTCTCTCTCTCTCTCTCTCTCTCTCTCTCTCTCTCTCTCTCTCTCTCTCTCTCTCTCTGCGTCCCCAGTTTGCCACGTGCAAGGGGAAGCGGCAGCAAGCAACAGGAGCGGGCGCGAGACAGTTTGAAGCAAGCGCTGGCGGTTCACACTGCGACAGCGACAGTGGCCGGGCAGGACGTCGTTGAAACGTGCCAGTTCCCACCACCATAGCGACAGCGGGCGCGACGTGTTCGTTGGGGCGGCGGTAGATATTTTCGCGACGATAGTGACAGCGGGCGTGGCCTGTTCGTCGGGCCGGCGGTTTCCCACCACGACCTGTTCCTTGGGCCGCCGGTCGCATTCTTTTTTTTCCCCCTGCCTGGGCCCGCCACCTGGGGTCCCCCACGTCGGCCCGACCCTCTGCCTCTTGCCCGCTTCGCTTTTCCCTGCCCCCCGCGACGGTCGACACCTCCTCCCGACCGCGGTGTCCCAAGCGGTTTCCGTTGGGCCCGCGACCGACCATGTCGCCAGACCCTTTGCTTGCTTTAGTATGTATAGAGATAGAGAAGAGATGTACCCTGGTGTCCCGATCACTCACAAAAGTTTTCGGGGGGGCATACTGCAGAATGTATTGTTGATGGAATTCTTCAATCACAAGCTCAGTTGGTGCATAAGGTAAAGGAATCAAGTTCAAAAATTTGGAAAAACGATCATGATGACCATGACTTGTGAATGTCTTCCCTCACTTGTCTTTCCCATGTCTGTGAGGTCGATGGAAACCGACTCACCGAGCCCATTAGGAATGGGGAGGGGTTTCAACAGGCCATAAGGCTTATGTCTATGGACCTTGGTTATTTGACAAACTTGGCATTCAACAATAAATTTGTGAGCAGATCCCTTTATTCCCGACCAATCAACTGCTGCAAAAGACGTCCATAAGTCTTTTCAAAGCCGAAACGCCCACTTCGACCCCAAATCCAAGAAATGCGTTCGGAGAGGCTCATGATTGGGTGCACACAATTCATCAAACTTCCCATAGCGTCGGAATACAAGACCCTCACATTCGTGAAAATCAGGCTTCCTGCTAGGGTCACCCTTGATCTGCTCAAGGATGGGACCAAGGTCCGGATCCTTGGCAGTGTGCTCGACTAGATCCTCCTTCAGTTTCCTTAGGAGGTCATATGAGCTCACGAGGCAAGTCAAAAACTCAAGTTGATGAGACAAAGCATCAGTGACACGATTATAACAACCTTACTTATGTTTCCGTTCAAAATTATATACATCAATGTCATGCAACCAGCGGGTCAGCATCAGAGAGAGATCAATTTGCGATTTGATCCACTTTAAGGTATGTTGATCTCATTAGACCTTGAAGTGATGAACTAAGCGGTAGTGCTTCCAAGGTGTTAGCGCCTCTCGCAAGGCATAGAGCTCGCGCATGTACGTGGAGGTAACTAGCTACCTTGCGGTTGGGCAAGCATTTGCTGTAATATTCGAGCGAACTCAAGTCATCATCATCATCTTGTTGCAGCATTGCGCCAATCCCATACTGGCTCGCATCCGTAGTTACCACAAATGTGAGGTTGGGATCCGCAATGCAGAGCACAAGATGACTTACCAAAGCTTCTTTCAAAGCTTGAAACACAGTCTCGCACTTCTCACATCACACGTAAGTAACATTCTTGCTTGTTAGTCTCGAGAGTGGGTGAGCAATGACAAAAACCTTGGCTACAAACTTCCGGTAATACGAAGCCAAACCAGAAAAGGAACGCAGTTCCCGTACATTTGCTGGTTGAGGCCACTTTTGTATGACCTCAACCTTGGTTGCCTCAAGGTCAAGGCCGTTTGTAGACAACCAGTGCTCAAGATAGATGACGCTGTCCCTTCCAAACTCAAATTTCTCTAAGTTGAGGTGTAGCTTCGCCTCCTTGAGAATCGGCAAAACTTCCTCAAGGTGTTTGACGTTCTCTTCCATGAACTTGCTGAAAATCAAGATGTCGTCGAGGTAAACGACAACAAACCTGTAGCAGCTCCGACCTTGACCCTTCGGACAGGCTACAACTACGACTTCTAGAACTCACTAGGACTCCTATTCGACAGGTCTACAAATCGATTCCCTACCCCTACACCGGCCTACGACAGACAACAACAACTCTCAAAACACAGGTCACGGGTTCAAACACTCGGGGTCAACACAGATACTGTACACAGGTAACGTGAGAGCTAGGGATCGAGCCCTGGGATCTGCACTCGCTACTGCTGACAGGTGAAAACCGTTTCACTCCCGCTGGCCTAAATTCAAGGTCCTCCGAGAATACTCAGTCCAAGGCAGGACCTTTTCCTTTCTTATCTCTCTCATAGGCTCTAACTATGTCGGGAGTTGTCTCTAGAAGTTCAGTTCTTGTAACCAACGGTCGTCTTCTGACTCCTGATAAGCAAATTGGACCTTATATTGTTTCTGTGGACGTCCTCTACCTCTTGTTTTGAACACATCTTCACCTACGATGTCGTCAATGTCATACCTTCCGTCCATGTCTGGAGGGATCATGGACCATCTAGATGGAAACTGTTGACTTGTGACATACGGCAACAACTTGGATGCATGAAATACAGTGTAGGTGTGGATGTGTGCTGGAATCTCTTTCCTCAGGAGCAAACTCTTTAGACTTGACCCAGACTAAGTCGCCTACTTGAAACTGTGATGGGCGATGGTGCTTGTTAGTTTGCTCTATCATTCGGTGTTGGGCCTTCCTGAGGTTTTCTATGACGGTAGCTAACTCTTTCTCGTGCTGTAGCGCAAACTCCCTAGTACCGGGCGGTAGCCTCTGTATCTGATCCCGGTTAAGTCCTTCAAATGGTCTGCGCGGTCTGAAAGACTTATGCAACTCGTTGGGAGTGCGACAGGTAGACAAGTGCACACTATTGTTGTAGGCGCTGGCTACCCTTGGAAGCATCTCATCCCAGTTGACTTGATCAGGTCTAATGTACATACGCAGAACTTGCTGCAGGTCTGTTCAGTCTGACCGTTGGTCTCTGGATGACGGCCAGATGACATTAACAACTTGGAGCCATAGACTCTCATCAACTCCTGCCAGTTCTGACTAGTGAACCAGGTGTCTCTATTACTCACTATGGACTATGGGACCCTGTGCTCAGTGACCTAATGATCAAAAAACTTTTGGATCACTAACTCCGTACGTACAACATATTTGCTAAATCTATCAACTACGACCATGACTTGGCTCTTACCGTGCGTACTCTTGACGCCAGCATCCATAAAGTCAATGGATACTGAATCTCCTGGCTGGTCAGGAATAGGCAAGGGTTTGAGAAGACCTAGCGGGGCACGCGTAGTAGTCTTATTCCTCTGGCAAACTTTGCAACTGTGAACATACTCTATGCAGTCATTCTTCATCCCTGACCATGTGTACACACGCATCAGATTGGCTAACGTCTTTTGCCAACCAAAGTGTCCCTCAATATCGTGACATTCCCCTAGGATCAAACTACAGATCTCTTCACTGTTGGAGACACACAATTTGTCCACTACGTTAGTCTTCTCGAATAGTAATCCATCAGTAGTGCGGTAATCTGGTTCCGTCTCGGGGGCCTCCTTGACTTTCTTGAGGAGGTCACTATAGATCGGGTCCTGCGCATACACCTCTTTCACTTTCTGCTGCAGGTCTCTCCCTATATCCAGATAATGGACTATAGCTCCAAAGTAGTCGGCTCTCCTACTTAGAGGAAAAATCGACGCCACAACACGAAAGAGAGGAAACTATCTGAAGAAGATGGCGGCGCCCTGAAGAAGAAAACTACCACCAGGAAGGAGAGTTCATCATAGTATGAAGAAGAAGGAGACCATATTCCGCGGATGACGACGATGCTAAGCTCATGACCACCATCTCAAGAGGAAGAAGACATGTTTTGTTGGAATAGAACACATGTGCGTACTATTCGAATACAACATACGTGCATACTATTTCAACGTGCTTACTATTTGCATTTCGGGCGACAACTATGAAAAACGGACTTTTCTAGGGAAAGTTATAGTACATATGTGCGTTTTGTTCGGGGGAAGACTGTAGCAAGCATGCACTGTGTTAGGGAAGTCACTGTTGCTTTGAAGTCGATCGTGTTGATACAGATATGTTCGAACCTTGTCAGTTGTCCCGTGAGCTCGCCCACAGGCTGATAAGCTGGGTATTGGAAGAAGCACTAGGATAACGTATAACAAGGAATGTCCAAAGCCTCAGCCTTATCAAACACACCAATGCGAAGTGAGCCATCTGGACGAACCAAGATTCTTGCCCCGAGGAAGAGACATGACCCATCTTGCTTTGTAGTGTATTTGGGTGTCTAATTTGTGTGTGTGTGTGTGCATGCGTGTGTGTGTGCGTGTTTGCGTGTGTGTGTGTGTGTGCATCTGTGAGTGTGTGCGTGTGTGTGACACTGGGGGAGAGAGAGTGAGAGAGACAGTGTGTGTCTGTTTGTGCATATAACCTGTTGCTGCACTGGACGATGCACACACCTTTACATGATGGCCAAGAAGAGTCCACTAGGACGGAATCGTGATTTACTTAAGCGCGGTAAGATGTGTGTAGTGCTGTGTCCCATTCAACCCCTTTGTGGGTTTCATAGCGACCATTAGGTAAGTGCTTGCCATCCCCATACCACCCTTTTCCACACAACAAAAGGAAGAGATCTGGCTGCTGGACAATGAAAACTATTTGGGCAGTGGAGGAAGCAAAGTGCAGGTCTATGTAATAGAAACTCTAACTCACCAGGGGCTTTTGTTGATGAGATAATAGTCATAAATCAGCTTATCCACTTCCGATGCATCTTGCTTTTCTGCTTTCTCCTTCAACCAAGCCTTCACCAAAGGGTTTGTGCTCCATTCCTTTCACAACCACAAAGCACAAAACACAAAGGATGTGAACATCAAGAAGCACAAATAAGTTCGCAGAATTCGTATGTACTATTAACCAGTAACATAGATACAGTTGCCGACGCGCACACACACAAGAATTAATGGAACATGAATGGCTTTCAAGATTTGGCCACACTCTTTACCAGCTCTAATGAGCCTGAGAGTCATGAGAAGCTTCCATAACTCGATCATGGAAGTAGTCACAGGGCACTCAAAATGGAACCAGCGGCAATGCAGAATAAGTCATGAAGCACATGACATAGTTCCAGAATAAGCAGTGAGTCTCCAGAAATGAGATTAAGGCACAGAAGCAATGGAGAGAGAGAGAGCGAGGATAGTTTCATTGATAATCAGTAACACAATGGAAACGGCTCTTCCTGCCCTTTTCACCTCTCCGGGACCATCTCCCACCAACTTGCCACCTGGGCATGCAAGTCTTCCCCTAAAGACACTGATAGTCTCTCTACAGGTACCAGCTATGGGCGCCCAACCTCCAGCATCAATGTTGGCTATGGACGCAGGCACCTTCCTTTCTTAAGCCTCCTGGTGTGAACAGCAGCTCCAGTACCACCAGCGCAAACAGGTAAGTCAAGGGCAGCTTCCGTCGCTCTCTCACTTGGTAAAGCACTTTGGACTCTCTAAATCTATAGTGAGTGACAGAGGTGTGTGTTTAACTAGTGAACTATGACAAAAGACAGACAAACAGATGGGATCTGAATTGCAGACGACTTCTGCGAACCATCCAGAAACGAACGGACAAGCTACACAGATGAGCAGCAGATGATCCGGGTTGAACAGCAACTGTTACGACTGGGATGAGAAGTTGCCTCTAGTAGCTAGTCTGTCCAAATATTTGCCGGACACCTAATGAGCTGCATGTGGGATGGGGGCCTAGGACACTATCGGATTTTCTATTTCCTGCGCAGGGTTGCTGCCCGGTTGCATACCCGCCGAACGCCTACCCCGACCGCCGACCGTATTGCAGCAACCCGCCGAACACACGCATGGATAATGAGAACTGATTATATCATTCATTAAGAATGCGTGCTGCCCCCACCCATGGATAGAGACATCCAAAAGAAGGCCTCCGAGAAGTCATATCTTCTGCATCTTCCAAGAAGTTCGACTGCACCAAGTCACTGCAGACATCAGGTGGATGAAGAATTTAAAGGGTTCTCACGGGACTTTCAAAGCTAAGAGGAAAAGGTATGCGAGGAATGGACCCCTCGACAGTGCTGAGAAAGGCCTTGCCCGCCCTAAGTGAAGGTGGGCCTGCCAATATGTGCCAAGGCCTGGGTACAGGCCAGTGATCACCCTAAAGGGGCCGTATATGTGCGGGGGAATGAGCCCTCACAGGGCCCTTAACAGACATACACATGTTCTGGGCAGACGCCCTCAGCAAGCCCTGTGCCCGCCCTAAGCGAAGGCGGGCCTGAATATTCACAAGAGGCCAAGATTTGACATTTTTCCATATGTGGGTGTCAGACAGCTACAGCACACCAGTTGGTTACAGAGCAACGTGACCCTCTCCAGGCTCTTTCCGGAAGTTGCAGCCTCAACAGGCAGTTGAGCCAAGGGCCCCACACAGTTAAGGCCCTGGGTGTGTGCTTTCAGAGGCCGACACATCATACAACAGCTATGGTGTTGACGTCATGTACATTGGTCTTCAAGGTCGAAGTAGCTCTGTTGCGTGAACACTGGTGTAGTAGGATAGGCGAGTAGTGTAGGCTGGGCGCAGGGTGTTGGGCGCCAGACAGAGTAGGAGCGACATTGGATACGGTGTCGGGCGGGGGTCCCTCTCTTGTCCCTTCTCTCGTCAGACAACACTACCAGTCTCCCCGTACCCCCCCCCTCAGCAGTTAATCTGTCGACAACTTGGAAAGCCCAACCCTCGCGGCAGTTGTAGCGGCCCACCTTGGGGACCAATGGCATCGCCGCTTCCCTCTAGCTCGGGCCCCTTTTCCACTTACCGCAGTTCTTTGACTGACCGTCCAACACACATCCCCGTTTTGCCCATCCCAACTCACCCGTCTTACTCCTGGTCAACACTTAGTAGGGTCATAAAATGTGAATGTCATCTCATCTGTCCAAAATACACCCCGTAGTAACGTGGCCAGCAAGGCGGGAAGTCAAGCGCAGACGGGACGAGTCAGAAACCAGGCTCGAACACCCAGTCCCAGGGCTGCCCTCGTTCTCCCGCCTCCATACCTCAAGACTGCCCCTTCCGATGGCAGCAAAACAACTGCCTTGTGAGCTAAACTCAACAGTTCCCTACCCATTTCAGATCGAATCAGAAAGATCACACAGTCATCCAACTCACCAAGAGTCACACATCCAAACTTCAATCTTCGAAGTTCACGTGCTATGGGCCTTGCCCATTTCGATAGCTCTCTCTCTCTCTCTCTCTCTCTCTCTCTCTCTCTCTCTCTCTCTCTCTCTCTCTCTCTCTCTCTCTCTCTTGCCGGCACGCCACTCCCTCTCATGCTGTAACATAATACTTTCCACGCCCGGTAACCGAACTGAGCTTACCTTGACCCCGCTGGACAAACCCTGAGGTATCCGTGAAACCAAGCACATCGAAGGCCAACCTGTTTTCCCTTTCAAACGACATCTTAGGCACAACAGCCGTAGACGCAAATCCATGAAGGCCTCGAACATAGGGCCATTGCCGTTTACATCATCACTGACCACGACAAACGCCTCTGTCAAGATCTGACGGCTAATTCCGTGACCAGAGAAACACACCTAGTCCCCCATTCGGCGATAAAATGCTCTTCACCCTCCCTTCTTGCGCCCTCTACTCTCCAATTGCACTCCTCTTCACACTCCCTCCGTAGCCCTAACGGAGTATAGATGAAAGACTATCCTGTCCCGTAGTCGCAGAGTCCATTTGCTGATTGGTTGGCTGGTTGGTTGGTTAACACCGTCAACAAGCTATCCAATCTGCAGACTGAGGAGTTCGTGCAGAAAATAAGTCGGTAGACGTGAATGAATAAGCTGAAGAGCGCACCAGGGTGAGAAGATAGTAATTTGAAAAGAGCGCCGCTCGCCATGGCACGAGCTCAAAAAACGATTGTAATCCCTCACAAAACCCTTCTCTCAAGCATGCATTCCCACACGCCAAACAGAGTGGCACGAACTCGGAACAAAGACTATAATCCTCGCAAGACCCTTGCACGCATGCATTCCCAATACCTCTAGCTACACTCTCTCTCCCTCTCTCTCTCTCTCTCTCTCTCTCTCGCTCTCCCTCCCCTTCCTGCTTCACTCTTGGCGCTGCTACCTTCCCTTCGCTAGCTCCTTGGCTGGACGCCCGTGCTCTTCACCACCACTATTTCGGATGTATCTGGTCGTACCAATGGTTGGATACATAAAAAAAAAAAAAAAAAAAAAAAAAAAAAACAAACGAGTTTCGCTGCAAGCAGCAAGCTGCCAAGANCTTCACACTCCCTCCGTAGCCCTAACGGAGTATAGATGAAAGACTATCCTGTCCCGTAGTCGCAGAGTCCATTTGCTGATTGGTTGGCTGGTTGGTTGGTTAACACCGTCAACAAGCTATCCAATCTGCAGACTGAGGAGTTCGTGCAGAAAATAAGTCGGTAGACGTGAATGAATAAGCTGAAGAGCGCACCAGGGTGAGAAGATAGTAATTTGAAAAGAGCGCCGCTCGCCATGGCACGAGCTCAAAAAACGATTGTAATCCCTCACAAAACCCTTCTCTCAAGCATGCATTCCCACACGCCAAACAGAGTGGCACGAACTCGGAACAAAGACTATAATCCTCGCAAGACCCTTGCACGCATGCATTCCCAATACCTCTAGCTACACTCTCTCTCCCTCTCTCTCTCTCTCTCTCTCTCTCTCGCTCTCCCTCCCCTTCCTGCTTCACTCTTGGCGCTGCTACCTTCCCTTCGCTAGCTCCTTGGCTGGACGCCCGTGCTCTTCACCACCACTATTTAAAAAAAAAAAAAAAAAAAAAAAAAAACAAAGAAACAAGCTCCGCAGCCAGCTAAAAAGAAACAAGCTCCGCAGCAAGCAGCAAGCAGCAAGCAGCCGCGACTTTAGTGTGCTTTCGGCCTGCTTTCTCTCTTCTTCCTCTCTCTCTCTCTCTCTCTCTCTCTCTCTCTCTCTCTTCATCACGCACTAACAAAAGAGCGCGGGCCGGGCGCTATAGAAGAGAGGAGCCGCGCGGTTAGGAAAGCGAGAGGGATATGGAGAGGGTGGAAACCTTCTATCTCGCTCAATACTCAACGAAATTGGGCGAATCAAGACTCGATTCCGGGGTTTTCGGACCCCGCGAATCTATCTGTGCAGTCAGATCTTGGTTTGAATGCTTAGTTCGGCCGTTATGAGTAGTAGGGGCAGCGCCCCCACTACACCAAAGCACTTTGTGCAAGGACCCGTCCGGGTACATTCACCCATAAAGGACTTCTCAGTGCGCCTTCTCTCTCTCTCTCTCTCTCTCTCTCTCTCTCTCTCTCTCTCTCTGACGCACATAGCCCTCATTGCAGCATTTGTTCATCCATGTTCCACACAGTATTTCTCTCTGTAGTAGCAGCGCAGCCCATCACCCTCACAGCGCCGAGGTCGCAATCCCAACGGAGAATCTGACACTGCCATCAGATTCGCGATGGGCAAAAACCCCCACTACGCATTTTACCGCACTCAATTCGGTTGTGAATTGAGTGAGATCTCCTCCTCACACTGCCGCCATATCTGTCTCCACCATCCCTCCGCGCAGCCCCTTCTTCTACTAACACTCAATCCACTAATCCAACATCCAAACTAACTTTACCATCACGTTCGCCTTGCCCCAAAACCCCAAGATTCATGTCTGGTCCGCTCGATTCCGTTACGGAACGGGCGAGTTACGAATTCTCTGCCCCGTTCAACTTACATTTCACCATTCCCCTCCGTTGGATGCATCTGGCGCAAAAGTGCATCCAGGTGCACTTCGCCCTTCCCTCTGCTCTCCCCTCCGTGCATCTTCCGTGCGCTTCTTCTCCTACGTGAGCTGCAGCTCCCACGTGCGTTGTCTCCCGTTCGCCCTTCCCTCTGCTCTCCCCTCCGTGCATCTTCCATGCGCTTCTTCTCCTACGTGAGCTGCAGCTCCCACGTGCGTTGTCTCCCGTGCGCCGCGAACTACCCCGGAACGAGCGCTCTCGCGTGCGCTCCCGTGCGCTATCCTTGCCTCTCCTCCGGCAAGACTCCCCCCCCCATCCGTTTACACCATGCGCTCCCCTCTCTGCACCCGCATCCCCCCCTTGGTAAGTCTCACTCCTCCTTTTGTAAGGTCTGGTCGGGCTCAAACCAGGTGCAGGCCCGACCAGTTGCTGCCCTGTCGGCCGCGGCTAGTCTGCCCCTCTGCCAACCGCTTTCTCTCCCTCTCACTCTTCCCGTTCGGCGCCAAGAGCCAAAATTTAACGAATTTTTTATCTTTCCCGCCATGTCGTACGGGTTCTCTCCCAATTTTTTCTTTTTGAAATTTTCCTTCCCGCTTTCCATGACTTGCTTTCAAATTTTTCCTTCCTTCCCGCTTTCGACGACTCGATTTGATCCTCCTTTCTTCGCCCTCCACCAATCCCGTCATTCTTTTCTCGAGCCCCCAGACCTGACGCAGCAGATTCCAACTCGGTGCGAAAATAAATATTATCCCGCCATATTCGATAGAAACTCCCCTGCCCACCTTCATCTGCACCCACCCACTTCTTTAAGCTAGGTACATCCCCTTTCCAGTCTCAGAGCGGCCACACCGTCCTTTCCATATGGTCGCCCGCACTTCAATTGCTTTGTCGTGGGTGGGTGATTTCGAAATTTCGTAAAATTTTTGTTTTCCCGCCGACCATGCTTCCTCTCTTCCTTGCCTGCCTGTTGGGCAGACCGCTCATTTTCCCATAGTCCGCACCTGAGGAGAGGTTCAAACGAGCCTAAGTAGACCAAGCCCCCCCCACCAAGGCTCGCAAACTTGCAAATGCGGCCCTCTCAAAGCGCCCTGCCTTATTCAGCCCTTTCAAGATGGCCCTCCGCGTCAATGACTCAAGATTCGTGTACACTCCTGCTCATGCAAGCACCCCCGTATTAGTCACAAGCCTATGGGCGTGCTTGCGCACACATCCATACCACGTAGCTAGTCCGATTTCCATACACGCCCACACACGAACCGCACAGCTCGTATTAACACCACATAGTCGGCCTCCGATATCCCATCCGAACTGCCTGAAGCTACGTTGGTCCCGCGCCATACGGCGGACCGCCGACAACGCTCCCAAAACCCGTAAGCGTTACAGTCGGCCGTCGTCAGCCTTAGTGAGTTTCCCTTGTAGAAGTATGCCATGGCTGACTCCCGTAGACGAACCCTCTTAACTGCGCCTCCCAGCCCTTGGTCCTATTCGCCGTCACCCACCGTCGCCGCTTCGCCCCAAGGCCAAATGTGTGGGAAGTCAGGCTCTCCGAGACCCCGGTTTTCCCCATCCCCTTGTCATTCCCCCATACCTCACACGAACTCCCCGCACAAGCCCCGCACTCCCTGATTCGACAAAAGAAACTCAAGCATGCGCAGACAAAACCCCAAATCAAGCAAAAATGGCCAAAAACACGTCCGAAACAAGCTTACGTGTCCAAAAAAAAAAACGGCTGGTAGGCAGCCGCCCGACAATGGTGTTGGTGTGGCCTGAGGGCTTGGACATTGGCTCGTGAGTTAATTGTATTGCTCTTATCTGGATGGAATCTCGGTGTATTTGCGCTCTCTGCTTGTACATGACTACTTGGACATCTGTGTGATTTCGCAACTTGGTTTTCTGGATAAGGGACGCTGGACCCGTTTTCCAGCTGGTGATGCTCCCCACCAATAGATGGAGCCTCCCCCCAGGTGCTAGTGGTGTCTGCTCTTACCAGTACCACTAACACTGAAGGGGGCGTTTTCAATATATATCCTACCCCTTAAGCAGCATTGGCCGCGGGGGGAAGGTCGATGGTCCGCTGTGCGCCGGATTTGGGGTCGAAGTTTCGGCGCGGGCCGGCGGATGAAGGTGAGTGACGGCGGGTGGGCGTGCAAAGTGGCGCGCGTACGGAATTGTTCACAGCGCGCCACTAAACGCGAGAGTGCGCCCACGGGGCCGGATACACGGCGGGCGTCGATGCGGATGAATATCTCGACGCGGCCGCCGTCGATAGCCTTTCCGTGTCGGTTTGTGTCCAGCCCCCTTTTTTTTATTTTTTGTTTTCGTGTTTTTCATTTTTTTTTTTCCATATATTGTTGTTTTGTTTCGTATTTTTTTTATTTTTTTTCTATTATATTTTTCATTTTTCATTCTGGCGTGTCGTTTTGTTTCCTTTTTTTTTTTTTGCCTTTTGTTTTCGTTTTGTTTGCGAAAAAAAAAAAAAGACTTTCCCTCTTTTTTTTCTCCGTGAATTTGCAAGGTTCTTGCATCGGTCCCAAAAAAAAAACAAAAAATGACAAAAGAAAAAAACCAAAGACAAAAGGACACATTTCTTCGCAATTTTTTTGGGTCGGAACGAACTTTCCCCTAGAACATGGTCAGATGCAGACACACCAGTGTTTGTGAGAAACGTGGCGGGCGTATCTGGCCATGTTCAAGCGGGAAGTTCATTCTCATTTTGCACATTTCGGGCGTGGTGTAGCGATGCCCTCCTTTTGTCTCTCTCTCTCTCTCTCTCTGTCTCTCGCTCTGTCTCTCTCTCTCTCTCACACACACACACACACATACACACATACACGCATAGACACCCACACAGACAGAAACACAAATGGGACGAAGTTTGTCTATCTGTCTGTGTGTATGCGTGTGTGTCAGAGAGAGAGATCGAGCAAGAGTGTGTGTGTGTGCGCGTGCGTGGGTGTGGTAGAGAGTGTGCCGACAAGTCTGTGTGTGTGTCCGCGTGGGCGTGTGGCAGAGGGTGAGTGCGGTCAAGACTCTGCCATCGCTAGTGGCATGAGCCGAGACAAGGGTGCGCCGTGTAGCTATGGCGCGCATGTCTCGAGAAAAAAAAAGGAAAAAAAAAAGAACAAAAAAAGAAAAAAAAAAGGAAAAAAAAGGAGGAA